CCCCAAAACCCCAAAACCCCAAAACCCCAAAACCCCTTGAGAATTTCAATGAAAGTGAATTACCAAAAAATTATGTATATTCAGATTTTATTTAAGATAATCTTACTCTAATTTAATCATTAGAGGAAGGCAAGCTCCTGAGTGTGAGTCTTGGCATTGTAATGAGCCTTGAGTCCATCAACTTGCATCCATTCCATTGCTCTGAATGGTGAGAGAAGCTTACAGTAATGGAATCCAGCTGCAGCTGAAATGAGATAGTCAGTTGGAGTTCTCATCATTGCTGACTTGAGGGTCAAAGTAGTCTTGTCTGAATTGTCCTCATAAATCATGTTAGTCCAGATCCAGAGTGGACCAGCGTTATATGGACCTTAGTCATCACCAACAACGAGTTTTTGGCCGAATTGATCATATCTTTTCTTGGCTTCAGTGCTTAAGTGAGAGTATGCGTACTAGATGGCTTCATTATTGATGTCTGCACATCTATTTCCAACCTCATCAGTTTGATGGAAGTCTGGCTTTTCCACTCCTGCAGCTTTTTGGGTAGCTTGTCTTGACATTAGTTTGCATCTCATCTCAAGAGCGGCAATTGGGAACATTCCAGTGTCCATAACATCGAGTTCAGTGTTAATGAGCTCAGTCACAGTAACTGAGTTAAGAATGCATGATGAGTGACCATCACAAGTGTTGTTGAATTGTGGGAGATGAACTGGGTTGACAGTCCAGACTCTATGGAAGTTGTCATCACCTGAAAGTTTAACTCCGCTTGGTAGGTCTCCACCCATAATTCTTTAAGCGTTAGCCTAAACCCATGGGGATCCCTTTGAGCAATCAGGTCTCTCTTGGTTGATGAGAGTTTGACTGTAGCAAGCGTCTCTAATGTAGTAGCTGTTCTCAAGTTTCATTGCCTCAACTAATGGTTTAATGTCGAAAACACTGGTGGCAGCAACTCTGGCAGCTCTGCTGTTTCCAATAAGTTTTCCAATGAAACCAGTAATTGCTGAAGCAACTTGGTAGTGAGCTTCCTCCTCTGAGATTTCAGCTTGTAGATCGTTGTTAAGGACATTTGATGGGAGGGCACCACTTGAGAATCTCCAGTGAGAGAACCCTTGGAATGGAACAACTGGGAAGAGGTTCTTTTAGGAGGGGTCAATATTTTCGATCTAGTGGTAATAAGCCTCAGCGCATCTTGTGATTCTCATTAAACCATCTAACTCTCCGCAGAGAGTAAGAGTTGGGAGATCAAGGTTGAACTTGGTAAATCCATTTGCTTGGACCTTTCTGGTTCCTCTGAGGAGGACGCTACCTTCGAGAATAAGACCCTTGATGACATCAGTGTGCTTAACTGCATAGCTTTAAGCCATAACTCCACCTAATGAGTGTCCAGCTAGGAAGACATTGTCTCCAGTGAACCCAAGACCTTTCAATTCCTTGAGTGCGCCATTGAAGGCTGAGTCTGTTTGGAGGGGCTCTGGGGTATCGAAAACAAAGCTTGGAATGCTTACAAAAGCTCTAATTCCTGATTAAGCAGCGACTTGTTAAATTTGTTGAGCAACTGGAGCATATCCTTAGGCTGGAGAAGAGGCACCTTAGAATAATACAAGAGCAATGTCTTGTCCAGTGGTACCGGCCTTTGGTGCAAAGGAAATAGCTTAGGAGGTGCTGAAAAGAGCAGCCAATAATGCTAGTGAGATCATAATTAATTATTATATCCTAAATTAGATGAGCACATATTTACTGTCATATATCTCATTAGAATTTAAATTAACCTAACCTAATCCTGAATTTAATCAATAATTATGCTAAATCATTTAATTAATTATTCTCAAGTGAATTCAATAATATATTATGCATGGGGTTTTG